TTGTTAGCAAATCCCACCCCTCCTGGCTGAGCCTCTGCTCGCTCACCCGTCCTGCTGAAACTGGAGGCCTCCAGGTCACCAGAAATCGCTCATTCAAAGAAAAAAAAGAAACTATTGTATGACGAACAAGTTTGATAGTTTTCGTCTTGTAATTTCAATAAATGTATTTATTTCAACGCAAATAAGCAATACTATATATTCAATCTCTGGTTTCCATAGTAGATTAGAATCATATAGGTATGCGGGTAGACACGTGAATATGCTGCTAGACAGCCGTGTGTGATTTTAGCCCGATTTTTTTTTTACTTAAAATTTTCATTCCATTGCGTATTTCCACTTATATAAAAAATATTCGTAAGTGTCATTGATTGTCAAGTGTCAAATATTAAAAACGCGGTAATGATGATCTATTTGCGAAAATACTTTAATCATTCTGTTTGTTTTTTTTTTTTTGCAATAATCAACAGTTTCCTTTATCGAGTAATTCACAGAACAGTGAGAACGTAACAAGACATACCAATAAATAATGTTTCCGTGGTTCTGTCAATACTACTTTAGAACGAGTGTGATACCTAAATTAAAGAAATTCAAAACAATTTTCGACTAAGACAATTAATTTTATAAAATATATCTCATTGGTGCGACATCGAACTACATAAAAAACCCGTTAAACAATATCGATTTTAAATATCGATCTTGCTCGTTAATAACTTAACACATTAAATCGATTAAAATGACTCGGTGGTGCAGTGCAGTTAACGCTCCTGACTCTTGCGCCGAGGGTCGTCGGCTTCGATTCCCGCATCAACAAATCATTCGTGTGAGGAACAGATTTGATTGCTCTTTGTCTTTATTGTACACACAGTTAATAAAACTGACACGAATACTACTGACACTACCATAGTTGATACGAATAATACTGGTGGTAGGACCTCTTGTGAGTCCGCATGGGTAGGTACCACCACCCTGCCTATTTCTGCCGTGAAGCGGTAATGCGTTTCGGTTTGAAGTGCGGGGCAGTCGTTGTACTATACTGAGATCTTAGAACTCATATCAAGGTGGGTGGCGGCATTTACGTTATAGATGTCTATGGGCTCCAGTAACCACTTAACACCAGATGGGCTGTGAGCTCGTCCACACATCTAAGCAATAAAAAAAAAATACAATACTTAATACTACAATACATTAGTTAAATAATTTTATATTATTATTACGAGTATTAAATAATTTAAATCGAACGAGATCCAGCAATACGATACATCTATGTGCGACCGCTAGACATGACTTGTCGTCCGCGACGTCGCGGCGATGAGCAACGCGCTAAATTAAGCTTGAAGAATTACCGTTTGACTTAATTTCATATGTATCAACTTTACAATTTACGTTTGAAGTCGTCGTGGCCTAAAGGATAAGACGTCCGGTGCATTCGTGTTGAGCGATGCACCGGTGTTCGAATCCCGCAGGCGGGTACCAATTGTTCTAATGAAATACGTAAATACTCAACAAATGTTCACGATTGACTTCCACGGTGAAGGAATAACGTCGTGTAAAAAAATGAACTCCGCAAAATTATGATTTGCGTAATTGCTGGTCGTAGAACCTCTTGTGAGGCGCGCGGGTGGGTACCACCACCCTGCCTATTTCTGTCGTGAAGCAGTAATGCGTTTCGGTTTGTAGGGTGGGGCAGCCGTTGTAACTATACTTGAGACCTTAGAACTTATATCTCAAGGTGGGTGGCGCATTTATGCTGTGGATGTTTATGGGCTTCAGTAACCACTTAACACAAGTTGGGCTGTGAGCTCGTCCACCCATCTAAGCAATAAAAAAAAAGATCCTACTAATATAAACGCGACATTTTGCACGAATACATGGATATATGTTTGTTACTCTTTAAAATGTACAATGGAGACGTTTATCTTAAACAGTCTTACAAAAAACCTCGTGACAGTATTTAACTTTACCTTTTATTTGTAAGCCATTATTGCCAAAATAGTGTTCCATGATTATAAGAAGAGGAAAGATTAGATCTTTAACTTGTTACGTTCTTTTTTATTGTGTCTGTTACTTTGAGGACTACATCATCATCATCATCATCATCATCAGCCTTTATCTGCCCACTGCTGGACATAGGCCTTCCCCAATGCCTTCCACATAATGCGGTCCTCCGCCTTCCGCATCCAACGACTTCCCGCCGTGCGCACTAAGTCGTCAGTCCACTACATAAATGTGTATAATTGTAAGGAACGTTGTGTACAAATTCAGCACTTTGTCTTGTTTTGTCGTGCGCACATAACTTATGTTGCAAGCCAGATTTTGTTTCTTTTTACTTGTGTTTTTTTTTTGTATCTTTTTAGCTTGTGATGTGTATTGTGAGCCTATAAATATATAAATAAACAAAATAAAGAAAATTCAATAATTACGCAAACTGTTACAGTCGGTAAAACTTGTACGAGTGTCATGTTGACGCTTTGAGATTTTCTACGATTACAGTTTTATTTCGTGTTTGTTTCTCAATTATAACTTTACGCTCGATTCTTCTTTGTCAGTGGACAGCCTAAAGAAATCGCTTACATCTTCTAAATACCTACTTCAATTTTACTCGATGCCTCTAAAAAATATAAATGAGAGACAATACAATTAATCTGTTTAACGAATCTGAGAAAGATCAATTAATAAAAAAACGAAATCACAACGAAACAATTCAAATAATCGAAATCGTGGAATCGATTAAAACGGTTAATAAATCGGATAACGTTGTCACATACAACGCATGCTTCTTAATTTGTTTCTAACGAGATAATTACGAAATATTTTACACGTCACAGTAAATCTGAGTGGAAATCGAATAGAATTGTCACGGTCTGTTTGTATTTTATTTACGAATGTTTGAAATATCAATACGACTGGTGCGTATTAACAGATTATGTTGTAACATTATCCGTTTAGACATAAGCTTTTTGTCACATTAACTGTGTGTTGTTGTTTTTTTTTTTATTGGTTAGATGGGTGGACGAGCCCACAACCCACCTGGTGTTAAGTGGTTACTGGAGCCCATAGACATCCACAACGTAAATGCGCCACCCACCTTGAGATACAAGTTCTAAGGTCTCAAGTATAGTTACAGTTTTCTTTACATCTTTGAAGGCATTTTCCTATTGGAAGTACGTAAAACCGTAATTTTAACCATCTATCGTGTAAGTTTTTAGCGTTTTTAGCGGAGAAGGATACACAAGTCTATTAGAATCTCAAACACCGGTTTTTTTCGCTTGATCCATTGTCAATGCTATCCTAAACGGTAAGCCATGTTTAGGTAGGTTTATAATCGGATTAAGAATTAGCTTGTTTGGATAATGCGTCCTTCAAGCATCGCCGGATTTGTGAAGGGCTTGCGAAATATATTCATAGAATAATAATATCGCACCTGTATAATTGAAATGACTTAACTAAATTGTTTTTTGAAAATGAGTCTTATAGGCAAACATGTCTTCAATCAGTCTATAAAATTAATCAGTCTCTTTTAGTCCGCAAAAAGACATACAGTAGAATTCATATACAACGACTTCGCTTATAACGACTAACCGCTTTTAACGACGATCATGATTACTTAAGTTAGGTTTCATAGTTAGGTACTGAGAAAATATAACCGTTTAGTGCGACTCCGTTTTAAGCGACCAACTGCTTATAGCGACCCTTAATTGTGAATATTATGATGATACGTCCGGTTAAAACGACGCACAATGTTTTGTTTACATAAACTACCAATACCTCGGCGTCCCAACTTCACTCAGATTAGAAGCCGGTGAATCAAATGCAACCCTCGCAAAGGAGTTTGGCGTATCTCATTCTACAATATCAACAACAGAGGAGAATAAAGATAAGATCGAGCCGCTATTTAATGCCAATGTTTTAAAATACAAACGTGTAAGGACTTATACTCATAAGTAGGTGGATAAGGCATTGTTCCAGTGGTTCCAGCTTCAGCGCGATTGGGGAATACCCGTGAATGTACCTCGGCTACAAGAGAAAGCAATTTTTCGCTATACAGTTAGACATGCAAATTTTTACATGCTCCATGAGTTGGATAAACATATGTACTTAACATATGTACTTAAGAAATAATTGTGCCGTTTTGTACATCATCCGGTTAGTACGACATAGTTTCGCCGGTCCCTTGAAGGTCGTTATATTCGGATTCTACTGTACGTATTATTTCCATCTCTTTTAAATCAAGTGCATCATACCTTAAAGTATTAATATCGAAGAACTAAAAAATTGCAATTCTTCATTCATTTTTAGAGTTTACAAAAAAAACATAAATTTTGAATTATGCCACTTTAATTTTAAAGGTGCGATATACCTACCATCATCTTTATTTTATTTCTATCGCAAAGATTGCTTGTTTTGATTAGTCAAGTTACTCTTGTTGGGTACTTATTATCGTAACTGCTGTTGATGGCAGTTAAAGAATGCGAAACAATTAATTTCGAATAATATTTCGAAGTTTTTTTTTGAATATTCATCATTTAAGTAATAATTAGCGACATCTGTGTGTAGCTAGGTTGAACTATAAAACCTAATGAAAGCGATGAATAATAGGTGGCGTTGCACGATCTTTAAAAAGTCGTAGATTTCTCAACTCAGTATCTACAGACTCCTACATATTTTATATCGTTTGCTAATCCAATGCATGAAATAAAAAAATAATGAAACGAAGGATTCCTATTTTTAAATTCGATAAGTTGACAATAGATGGCGCTACTGCAATCAAAAGCCTACTCATTTTTCATTTCTATTATGTACGTGTAAGTTCTATCTCAGAGCGCTCTAGTCGGGTGAATTTTTATTCGTAATTTTAATTTTAATTTTATATATAGATAAGATAAGTAATATATACTTCTTACACGGTAAAAGTTATTAACTAATATAAGTTATTTCTACCTAGGAGTTCAGTATAGTGAAAGTAAAGTCACTAATAGCTGAGAAACAAACGTGGATCTTACCTTATCAACTTTATCAGTCGGGGGTGAGGCTGGTGGGCTCTGGGGTAGGCCGAGGTCCTCTTCATCATCACTGCCATCACCGCGTCCTCGTCGCCTTACTGCCGCCACTAGCTCCGCCTGCCGAAAAAAATTCGCTTAGAATCGAGATAATTAATCAGACTTGATCAGAAACACATTTATTCCTCTAAAAATTATATCTGTATGTAACTTATATTGCATAGAACCGCGAATCAGCCCCCGATCCATGGCATTTAGTGATTATCGGAACCTATCGACACAGTCTGAATGTGGCCACACAGTTAAAGCAGTGTGTTTCACACACGTGTTTCAGCACAGCTTCCATAGCGGTAAACGTTGCAACTCCATACAAATTTGAGTCAACTTTTACGCCATCGAGAACGTTAAAAAGCTCGCATTAAATACACAGCTGTCATAACGGTACAACAGACCAATGACTGGTTCGAGGAAAATACAAGGTGGTGGCAGTACCTATCTCAAGATGAGTCCTACCACAAGTAAGTAGTACCATGCAAATTATATTAAATTGTGAAAAAAATTTAGTGTTGCGAAATTACTTATTTTTATTTATTTTTTATTGCTTAGATGGGTAGACGAGCTCACAGCCCACCTGGTGTTAAGTGGTTACTGGAGCCCATAGACATCCACAACGTAAATGCGCCACCCACCTTTGAGATAAAGTTCTAAGGTCGCAAGTATAGTTACAACGGCTGCCCCACCCTTCAAACCGAAACGCATTACTGCTTCAGGGCAGAAATAGGCAGGGTGGTGGTACCCATCCGCGCGGACTCACGAGAGGTCCTACCACCAGTAATTACGCAAATTATAATTTTGCGGGTTTCATTTTTATTACACGATCTTATTCCTTCACTGTGGAAATCAATCGTGAACATTTGTTGAGTACGTATTTCATTAGAAAAATTGGTACCTGCCTGCGGGATTCAAACACCGGTGCATCGCTCAACACGAATGCACCGGACGTCTTATCCGTTAGGCCACGACGACTTGCGGTAGACCTCATAGTAATATAAGTTTAATTAGGTGTACCGGAGGGACGCCGCCCCGTAGGGAGACCCCAGTACCGCTGGTCTGACGCTGTGCAAGCAATTTTACGCGCGCTCCAAGTGTCGGACTGGCCGCCAGCGCAGTAGTAGTAGTAGACCTTATTGGGCGTTATACCATACCACAAAAATATAGCATCTGATATTACACTTCGATTGAGACTTCTCACTAATGTCTCAAGGTGGATAGACAATTAAAAAGTGAAATAATCTGGCCGTAATAAAGAAGGGTACATGTAATTAATCTAACCTAAAAGCAACCAATTCAAGTCAAAACATTACGGTCCACTATCATTATTTCAAAACATTTTAAGTGTACCAATTGCACGCTACTCATCACAGCGGACGCGGCGACTGATAACACGCGCCGTTTCCTCTCGCATTAAAATCGAAGTTCATTTAAGAAGAAAACTACCGCCGGTAATTAGTATGACAGTGTTGCTTATTATTTTATTCAGTCTAGTCGCATCGCTTGATACACACGTCATTTCGGATCCTCCCGATCCACTAACGGTGCTTTTAGGTACCTCAAGCACCGGTAATAGTTCTCGTCGAACCCGTCGCTTGCGAAGAAGGGCTCGACGAGTAAATTAACCCTCAGACACAGCCCACTGAGTTTCTCGCCGGATCTTCTCAGTGGGTCGCGTTTCCGATCCGGTGGTAGATTCTGCGAAGCACGGCTCTTGCTAGGGCTCGTGTTAGCAACGTCATCAGGTTTGAGCCCCGTGAGCTCACCTACATACTAGTTATAGGATTAAAAAAAAGCTTGATACAACTGAATCGAATGTACCGGGCGCCTTATCCTTTCGGCAATGATGAGTTCAAATGATGATGACTGATTAACCACGATTACTATTTTCCCATAACATTTTGCACCAGTTCAACCAAGTATTTTTAGGAGACCCCCTTATCAACCTGAAGTCGAGAGCGTCTTTGCCATACATTCTACAAAACAGCACGATAATTAAAACAAAAGATAGCAATCGAATATTATCTTTTCCGTCAATGAAACATCCAAATAATTTGCTAAGTTCGGCAAATGAAAATAGTTTTTAGGTTATATTGGAATGCGGTTGGTTGCAGATTTGCATACAGAAATCAACTAGATGGCGTTAGTTGATATAAATTAATTTAAACCATCTATATAATCAAGCAATGTAAACTCATTAAATAGGAAACATGATAATGAACTAAAAATGTATATAGTCAGCATTCCAGTACTCAACACACATAAAAGTGATATAGCATTCAGTGCGCATCGTCGAAAGTTGAAGACAAAAATCTCAACATTTATCTTCCTTACATACGGACAGGTAGGTGAGCTCACGGGCTAAACCTGAGAGAATTTGCTAACACTAGCCCTACTACCAATCGAAGTGCTTAACTGTATCTACCACCGAATCGGAATCACGAGTATCTTATTCTGAACACACACACCTGAACACCAAAAATCATAATATCTTCGATTTCGCCAATTTCATAATCGCATCAAATCATTATAACATTAAACTACAACATATAAAAAAATTAACAAACCCATAATTGTACTAGTTTCCCTTCTGTGATCCAACAGAATCTTCTTCTCCAAGATCTGCTCATACTGTTCTCACAATTATAACATCACTCTTGATTTATCACTTATCGGATAGTATTGGTATGCGACACTTATTTGGCTGACAATGTACTCAATTGGTTCTTTGGGAAAATAACGTCACATTGGTCAAGGTTCTTATGTGCTACTAAAACCGAACTAAGCTTGCGATTTTATACGCGTAAGCTGAATGCAACGTGATATTACATTTTACAAGGAATCAGTTTACAAAATTTATTTTCAACGTACAATTTAAAAATTAAAACTAAATGTCTATTCTGTTATTTATTTACATAACAGCGGCAGTTTAATTAATCGTAAATTACAACGGGTTTTTTAAAGCTGACGAGCTCATGACCTAACTGATATTAAGTGGTTATCACAGAATTAACGCCGTCATCAACTTAGATATAGTTGCTTCGTGGCAGGGTGAATAATATTGATTCGCTGCATTCGCATTGTGAGCTCCATGAATACCAGTAACCATTTAATAAAAAGTCGTCGGTCGTGCATTCGTCCAACTATCAATGCGGATACGGATCTCTGGAAGCGTTTCACTGCAATCGGTTCCAGATATAAAGGATAAATTCCTCTGCGTCTTCTGGTAATACGATGATGGAAAAGGGATGAGCTATCATCACATTAAGGACCTTAGATTGCTACTTTCAGTACGTGTTGTGTTCTTCTACAAAAATATAGAACTTGGGAATAGTCCTCAACGATTTTTGGAGGCCAGACTGTGCCCTTTATACCACCATGAGTCTAGCCAGCCACTAGGCAGAGCTATATCCTGGACTGCTCACGAAGCCAATAAAATACCTATCAACCAGCTTCCAGCAGTCGAACTCAAAACAAAAATATAAACCACAACACTAAATACTTCACATAGTTCAGCACTGGTGCACAAGAAACATAATTATAATTAATTCTGGAAATAATCGCACGCGTCCACTCAAACAGCTTATGTTAATAAAACTAAATATATTACGATTAAGCAACATTATTAATTATGTTACAAGAAATAAGGATATTTATATTTTGGTTACAATTAATTACTAAGAAATATAACGTTTGGGTAGATAATATGTTAGTTTGTGTTCATCGTAAACACTTTAACTGACCACTACGGAAGGATTATGGGAAGTATTAGGATGACGATACTAGATATATGAACGAACTCACGGCGCACTGGTGGTAGTACTCTGCTTATTTATGCCATGAAGCAGTAATTTGAAGGGTGGTTTTTTTGTATTGCTTAGATGAGTAGATGACCTCACAACCCACCTGGTGTTAAGTGGCTACTGCAGCCCACAGACATCTACAACTTAAATGCGCAACCCACCTTGAGATATAAGTTCATGAGATATATGAGATATAAGGTCTCAGTATATTTATAACGGCTGGCCCACCCTTCAAACCGAAACGCATTACTGCTTCAGAGCAGAAATAGGCAGGGCGGTGGTACCTACCTGTGCGGACTCAGAAGACATCCTACCTACCACCAGTAAAACTAGGGGTAGCTGTTGTACTAAAAACTGCGGCTTAGAATTCATGTCTCAAGATGGGTGAGGGAATTTAAGTTTATTCATGTCTGTGGGCTTCGGTAACCACTTAACACAGGTGTGCCATGGGCTCGTCCATCTATATAAACAACAAAAAACCTATGGTGTGTGAAATATTTACCGGAGCGTATAAATATAACAACGTGGATGCATATCCCCACCAATCACCTTGATACTTGAGATCAAAGTCGCAACTGTATTATAAAATGCCCCTCTCAAAATCAATACTCAATTTAAAACGGTAGGTAGTGGCTTAGATCTGCGCCTGGCATTGCTGACCTCCATGAGCGAAAATGACCACTCACCTTAAGGTGGACCATATGCTCATTTGCCTACAAGGGCAATAAAAAACAAACTCTTCGGACCCAAACGTACGACTCTATCAAAATAGTCCGGTATTTTTGGACGGTATAGTAGGTATACACCAACCATAAAATATTCTAATGATGAAGCCAGAAAAAATATACCAACAGCGCCTTTGTCATAGTCGTTTCTTGTTCGTTTAGTTGAAGCAAGGTTCATCTGTGGTCGAGATAATGTTACGTTTCCATCGTTACGTATAATCCAGGCGAGACCTGACTTGACTATCGCTACAACTGACACTATATAGATATTTTTAATTCTATTTTGTCTTGGGCAGGGAACCGAAGCTTGTACGAGATGTCCATGGCTAGAAAGCACGTGAGGTATGTGAGACTTGACGCTTGACGACCGCGGGCTCATGGTTTTTTAGGGGCTTCCCACCCAACAACTCCCTTTACACTCTCTCACCCAACGTCCGATCTCCGCCCAGGGTCAAAACGAGGACAGAGCAGGGGTTTCTCGTAGTCAACACTAGATAAAGACTCCACACATACATAAGTAGCTCAATTCAAACGAATATAA